TTTTTGTTCTGCACAGCCTCCAGATACCTGTGTGTTGTGGGAATTTGCTTATGTGTTAGGTGTACCTTTGCCTTTGGATATGTTTATCTTGGGTTGAAAGACCAACTTGATGTCTCCTCTGGTGTTTTGTGCCCATGTCAGCTGTGGATAGGGCACACAAGGTGTGTGATGGGTAAGGCTGGACCCTGGGGGTGCTGCTCTCTGCCCTTGGGGCTTGGCAAGGGTTGTGACTGTGTATTCTCACACAAGTGTCAGCTCATCTATTTTTTATTGATGCACATGTTAATTTACCTGGCAAATCTCAGCTATGAAGCAGTCCTGTCCTAAAATATATGCTTAAAATATGTGCTTAAATGATGTTAATGTTGCTTCTAGACTGTATAGCTGTATGAGTGAGCAAGCTTTGTGCCAGCCACGAGGAGGATTTGGGATAGTGCAGACATCAGACATGGAATGTTCACTAGATCCCTAGTGTGCCTAGTGTGTTCCTCCAGTGGGTGGTGTTAAAAGTCTGCAGTACTTCTGACATGGCTAAAAGCATCCCACCTCCAGCACTGCTCCTGTGTCCCTGACCTGAGCAGTGGGATCACAGAATCCCACTGGCAATTACCTTAAAGCCCATCTCATTCCACCCCCTGCCATGGGCAGGAACACCTTCAGTACACCAGGTTGCTCCAAGCCCATCCAACCTGGCCTTGAACACTGTTATGAATGGGACAGCCACACCTCTCTGTGCAGCTGGTGCCAGTGCCTGGACAGGACAGGCTGCAGGTTCCTGGAGTCTTCATGCCCCTGTTGTGAAGGATTGCCAAACTCTGCTGCAGGGCCCAGGGCAGTCCCTGCTCCAGGTGGGGTGAGGTCCTGTCAGACACAAAATACTGGCTGCCCGCATTCTTCAGTGTCACACAAGTTTGGCACCAATGCTCTGAATAGGAAAAGTGGCCTCAAGTTTAAAGAACAGGCTTAGGAGACTTTGGAGAGGCTGTTTCAGCAGGGAGGAGTGTAACATTTTGTTGTTTTCTCCTGTCTGTTGCAGCACACTAGTTACTGCTTGGACTTCACAAACAGAAATTCCTGAGCCGGCTGATCTCTGCAGCCATTCCCACCATGGATCAGGACTATGAGAGACGTCTCCTACGGCAAATCAACATACAGAACGAGAACACAATGCCTTGTGTGAGTACACATGGGCTCAGGCTCACTGTTATGTTGTCTGTCTCACTTGTGACTGTTTTCCTGGAGCTTTTGAAAGACCTGGCACCTCCTCCAAGCAAACCACAGTCTTTTGTTGGGTTGTGAGCAGGTGTGAACTCCTCAGCTGTTCTATGAATACCCAAATAGCTTCACTTTAAGAGAGCTTTTGAATACATGACCTCAGTTCATGTTGCAAAAAGGGGTGAAGCTGTTTTTGTGGAGTTCAGTAATACCTTTTTCATACATAACCTCAACAACTACAGGTGTAACATAAAAAATTGAGGCCTAACAAACTAACCAACTCTGGGGCTTGACAAGGGTAAGGTCAGTGTCTTTTTTTCTTTAATTCAGGTAGCAGAGATAAGAAGAACCTTGACACCTTCCAATTCTCCAATGTCTTCTCCTAGTAAGCATGGTGACAGATTCATTCCCTCAAGAGCTGGGGCCAACTGGAGCATCAACTTCCACAGAATAAATGTAAGTTTTGCTCCCTTCTCCTACAGCTCAGCCTTGGAACCAAGGGAGTGGTGCCTTTTGTTTTGGCTGACATGATTGCTCTGCTTCCCTTCTGCACCATGCTCTTCTGCTGCCCCAGCAGAGTTCCACTGAGTGTGTGCCTCAAACCCCATGCTCCCTGCAGTTGCTATTTCACCATATATACCCTCAGGTTTCTCTATGGTGATGGCATGTTTCTCCATTTCAGGAAAATGAAAAATCACCAAGCCAAAACAGAAAAGCAAAGGATGCTACATCAGACACTGGCAAAGGTGAGATCACCCTTCTACTGCTTGGCAGTGCCCAGAGCTCTGAGTGCAAACTGCTGGGGAGGTTAAGGCCATACTGGCACTCTCATGCTTATGCCAAAACTCATGCTGGTGTTTTGGGAAATGCCCACATCATCCGTGAGTACCAGCTCACTGCTTTTGATGGGTGTCTGGATGCAAGAGGCTGAGTCTATGCCTTGGTTTATTGTGTCATGAAATGACTTTCCTGATGGAGTGGAAGGAGGTGAAACTTGCTACTAATCTTGATTCTAAATGAGGGCCCCAGGCTTATTAAGAGACTCTGTGAGAGTACAAGTTGTAGAATCCCAGACTGGTTTGGGTTGGAAGGGACCTTAAAGCCTCTCTCCTTCCACCCCCTGCCATGGCAGGGACACCTTCCACTGTCCCAGGTGCTCCAAGCCCTGCCCAGCCTGGCCTTGGGCACTGCCAGGGATCCAGAGGCAGCCCCAGCTGCTCTGGGCACCTGTGCCAGGGCCTGCCCACCCTGCCAGGGAACAATTCCTGCCCAATATCCCGTCCAGCCCTGCCCTCTGGCAGTGGGAAACAATTCCCCCTTGTCCTGTCCCTCCAGGTCCTGTCCCAAGTCTCTCTCCAGCTCTCCTGGAGCTCTAAGGTCTCCCTGGAGCCTTCCCTTCTCCAGGTCAGGCACACATGATCCTGATACTCCCTGCTATTCCTGCTCTGAGCTCTCTCCTTTGTGCCTGTTTGGGTTTACAGATGGCCTTGCCTACTCTGCCTTGCTGAAGAATGAACTCTTGGGAGCAGGGATTGAGAAGGTGCAGGACCCCCAGACAGAGGACAGGAGGCTGCAGCCATCCACCCCAGAGAAGAAATCTCTCTTCACTGTGAGTTGGTTACTTGCATTAGCACCAGTGGGGGTTGTGTGTGGGGCACAGGAACAGAGCACAGGGCTCTGCCAGGCTGCTCGTGCAGTGAGTTGGTGTTGGGGCTTGGCTGAGATAAACTGTTGAGAGCAAATGTGGTGGCCTGCAAAGGGAGCCTGAGTGTGCAGCAAGCAGTGTGCTTCCTGTGTTTGTGCTGGCAGGAGAGCTGTGTGAGCCAGGCTTTTGGGCAGCGTGGTGAGTGGCCAAATCAGGCTTTTGGACTTGGAGTGTTGCTGAGGGGTTTTGTATGGTTTTGGAGCACATGGGAAAGGAAAAACTGGGTGTTGGAATTAGCTTGGCACCAGTGCATGTTGGGAGTGATGCCCCAGGCCTCTGGCATAGCAGGGTCCTCACGAGGTGTCTCTTTATGCAGTACTCACTCAGCACAAAACGCTCCAGCCCGGATGATGGCAACGAGGTCTCACCCTATTCCCTGTCTCCTGTCAGCAACAAAAGGTAACACTGATCCTCTGCAAACTAAAAGAAGGGAAGGGCTGGGATAGAGGGGACAGAGGGTTCAGTGAGGTTCTCTAGGACTTCTGCCTAAAGCTCTAAAATAAATGTGAATTTGGTTTGGAAATCTGGAGAGATAGTAAATAAAACAGTCAAGTTCTGAGAATATCTTCAGGTGCCCACCCTGTCTATGTGTTTGGCATGTCTTGGTCAGCTCTCAGTAATCAGTTTGCCTTTCTGCTTCATAGCTCCTTTGTAGGAGCAGAACCTAATTCCTTCCAGTCTTGCTACTGAAAAAGGGTTGTGCAGCCTTTTTGTGTCTGCATTTCTATAGAAACTTCAGACTGTTCTATAAAGAGTGGCTGCACCTGTGCCTCCCATCTGCTGTGATGTGCAGATTCCTGTAGTTGTTTTTTTATCTGTTTTTGTAAACAGTCAGAAGCTGCTAAGATCACCTCGAAAACCAACTCGGAAAATCTCCAAGATTCCTTTCAAAGTGCTGGATGCCCCAGAGCTGCAGGATGACTTCTACCTGAACCTGGTGGACTGGTCCTCTCTTAACGTCCTCAGCGTTGGCCTTGGGACTTGTGTTTACCTGTGGAGTGCTTGTACGAGTCAGGTAATGGTCATGAGTGTCTGCAGATTGAATTGCCCCTTGATGTAGGGTTTTTCCAGGGTTTTTCCACATTCCAGGGCTGTGGAATGTGCTGTGTGAGGGCTTCAGCACTTGTCACACTCTATCCCGAGCACAGCTGTGGTTTGTGGGACAGCCAGTGTGACAAAGCCACGTTCCTTACCCCGTTCCTCTCTCTGAAGGTGACGCGGCTGTGCGACCTCTCTGTGGAAGGCGATTCCGTGACCTCCGTGGGCTGGTCAGAGCGGGTCAGTATGACACTGTCACCAGGGACAGCTGACACATGGGGCACATAGGCATTGTCACCATAGCTGGAGTTAGCTCCCTGAGCTGGTTTTTCTCTGCTAAAAGGGAGGGGATGGAGAGCAGCCTCTTGTGTCTTGAGGTTCTCCAGGCGTTGCTAAGAGGAGTGGGAGGGAGAAGGAGCCAGTTTGCTTCTTCAGCTCTTGACAATAAAGTGTTACAATAAATATATTCCAGACAGGCTGCTTGGGCCTCTCAGTAGGGAAAAACATGTCAAATGGAAGAACTCTGGATGCTTTCCATCTTGTGGGATTTATGTCAAGTCTTCTCCTCAACTTTCAGTTTTCTGCCTGTGCTTCCTGGCTGTGCTGATCCTGGCTCTCTGTTTGTGCAGGGAAACTTGGTGGCCGTTGGCACTCACAAGGGCTTTGTACAGATCTGGGATGCAGCTGCAGGAAAGAAGCTCTCCATGCTGGAGGGACACACAGCCAGAGTTGGTAAGGAGTGGGGAAGCAGAGGGTTCTGAGGGGTCACTTCTTCCTGATGGAGCTTTGTTATCCAGGCATCTGCTGGAAATAGAGAACTCAGAGTACCAGGATTGATATTTATCCCCTGTTGTCCTCTTGAGCAGGTTCAAAGTAATATCTCATAACTGGTGTTCTGATCTCGGTGTGATGGTGGTTGGGTGTTGCAGCAGGTGTTTCCTCCTTGCTTGAGGCTTTTTGGGTTTGGTTACAACATCTTTTCACTGCTGCTGACTTCCAGTTTCAGCTCTGCTGGCAGCTTCATACTGAGATTTCCAGTTCCCTTTTTTGGAGGGCTGTTTTTTTCTGCTCAGAGATGTTGTGAATCTAAGCTCTGGGGCGAGATTTGGGAAATCCATGCACATTCCAAGATGTTTCTGTGCTTTACTGCACTGTGAAGTGAGGTTGATAATACCTGCAGTCAGTTTGTTCAGGGAACCTCTATTTGTGCCCTGATCTTAGGACTCCAGAGAGTGGATGTGAGGGAGGTCTGTAAGGAGTGCTTTGAGGTTTGTTAGGGTTTTATTTTTAACCCTGGCAGCTCTGATGGCTGCATTTTGCTTACCAACTGCTGCAGGACTGGAAAGGTTGGACTTGATAATGTGGCCAGCAGGACCAGGGCAGTGACCATCCCTCTGTGCTGAGCCCTGCTGAGGTCCCCCATTGAATCCTGGAGTCAGTTTTAGATCTCTCACAACAAGAAAGACTTTGAGGGGCCTGGAGCATGTCCATAGAAGGAAACAGAGCTGGGGAAGAGACTGAAGCACCAGAAGCAACTGAGGGAGCTGGAGGGGCTCAATATGGAGAAGAGGAGGCTCAGGGGGACCTTGGGGCTCTGCACAGCTCCTGACAGGAGGGTGGAGCCAGGTGGGGGTTGGGCTGTGCTCGCAGGGATGAGAGGGTGTGCCCTCAACGTGTGCTAGAGGAGGTTAAGATTAGATATTGGGAACATTTCTTCGCAGAAAGGGTTACAAATCATGGGAACTGGCTGCCTCAGGCAGTGGTGAAGTCATCATGCCTGAAAAGTGTTTAAAAGTCATGGGGATGTGGCACTCAAGGACATGGTTTGGTGGTGAATGTGGCGCTGGTGTGTCACAGATATCTTTTATGGAAAATCCTTTCCGTAGGATTTTTCCTTCTGGCAAGTTGGGAGGCCTCAGGAACAAAATGCAAACGATGATTATCTGCTGCTGTGGAATGCAACAGGTGCATCTGTGATTGGGCCATGTTAGATGTTTGTAATTAATGGCCAATCACAGTCAGCTGGCTCGGACAGAGAGCTGAGCAACAAACCTTTGTTTTCATTCTTTGCTATTTTATTCTTAGCCAGCCTTCTGATGAAATCCTTTCTTCTATTCTTTTAGTATAGTTTTAATGTAATATATATCATAAAAAAATAAATCAAGTTGGATATGCAGTATGGTTTACTGGGCACGATGGGATTAGGTCAAAGGTTGGACTCGATCTTAAAGGTCCCCTGTCCCAACCAAAAATGTCATGGTTTAGCCTTGACACAAAGCCAGTGCCCCCATGAGAATACCCTCTCCCTGGTGTCTGCTGTGAGATGTGACCAGGAATAAGCAAAGCAGGCTCCTGCTTAGAGATAAAGAAAACTTTATCAACTTCTGAAATATGGAGTCAGATCCTCATCTCTTGCCTCATCCAAGAGCCCCTGTGAGCACTGTCACAGTGGTGCTGAGTTGAGGGCTGGACTTGGTGACCTCAGAGGTGTTCTGCAGCCTCAGTGGCTCCTGGCGCACCTCTGAGGCTCTGTGCTGGTGCAGGTGCCCTGGCGTGGAACGCGGACCAGCTGTCGTCCGGGAGCCG